GAAACCATTTTCGATGATGTCAAGGTGATGCGAAATCTTACATCTGCCTACCGTTTTCTTTTATTTAGGCTGTCAGGTTACCCGTTATTATTATTATTATTTAATCATTAATATATATTTTAATTTAATATATTATATAATATATTTATTAACCCTAATTTCAACAACCTCAACCCTCATCCAACCGTGTTGTGCAGTCCAACAATTGTTTGTTTCTTTTAGTACTTGTTCATTGTGCTTCTGGTAATGATCTAAGCACAACGAAGTGTTTTATGAAATAAATAAATATATATTTATACTTATTCATGAATTTCACACATAAAAAATAGTATTTAAATTAAAATTACATCTCTAAGAAGAAAAAACAGAAGAAAACTAGTTATTTACTAGAGTAGAATTCAGAATCTATTGCTCCAAGTCCAACATCCAGGTCTAAAACAATTTTAATGGAGAACTTAATTAATTTTCATATTGAAGGTTTTTATTTCAAATGAAGAATATGAGTATTTCTTCTTGTTGTATGACTTATCAACAAAAGTACCGAAAAATAGAGAATGGATATTAAATGTCAATTAAGTGCTTATTTTCAAATTAGAAAAGAAAAAGGCTATGGAAGAAAAAAGACTAAAAGAGGCACTCCTAGAATAAGAAAACTTCTTACCTGTGATTGGTATGAGAAAAGACTTTCAATGTTCACGCATCCGATGATAAAGTAATCTCCTCAATAATCAAAAGGATAAGGCCGTATGTCAAACTTTAATCATGAAAACCATTAAAAATATGCTCATCATGTCCTTGGTTCCTTATTCATACTAATCTCTTGCACAAAACCAAAAATAAATAAGGGTTTCTCTATCTTGTATTTTTGAAATACAAGATAAAAAATAATAATTGAATAAAATTTATATTTTTTTTTAAAATATAAAATTTTAAATTAAAAATAATTTTATTTTTAATTTAAAATGAACTAAAAAAAAGTTAATACAAAATATCTAAAATAAAAATAAAAATTAATTTTATTTATTTTAAAATAAAAAATAATTATTATTAATTAATAATTACTTACTATCTTATGCTCTAAGAGTACAAAATAGATAAACTGAATAAATAAATATAAATAAAAGATTTTTGTGAGTTACTGTTATTAAAAAAAAAAAAAAGAAGAGATTTTGATGACTGAAAAGAAAAAAAAAAAAGTATTGATGCCGGTGTCCTGTGCTTACACAGGTGAAACTCGCTAGATGCATGCCACCCACGTGAATAGAGACACCCATTAATAAAGATGCAATGCAAGTGAAGCTTAGGCTGTAACTTGCAAGTTATTGGGTGGCAATTGGCATTTTGGTTTGCATCATTTGAAAGTTTTATATAATACTATTGAAGAGATTGCTTCAATTGAGGAGGTTAGCTCCATTCTTTGTTAATGTTGGACAAATTGAAATCAACTTTTATTATTATTATTATCATTATTGTTATTATTATTATATTTTAAGTTACATAATAAGAAGGAACCCTTTTTTATCTTTTAATCTACTCCATTCACATGTTATATACTTAAATATAAGACCTCTTACTTTTATTAGAAATAAATTATTACTAAATTATTTAAATTATGATCAATTTTCAATTTTTAAAAACAAGACATTTTAATCATTTTTAATAATAACTTATGGAAATAATATAATTTTACGATTATTCTCTTTTTAATTTTTAAAAAGTAAGGTGGATGAACAATTTTCCTAATATATAATATATGTATTGTGTGTGGCTCAATCATGGAAGAAAAAATATTTTTCTATCGAAAATGATCTAGTTTTTGATTGAATGAGGAATAAACTCATCTTAAGCCGATTAAAAAATTGAAAGCCTACATAACTCAATAATAGTTTCTTTTTAATAAAAGTAAGAGGTCATAACTTTTTTATTAAAAAAAAAAAGAGGTCATAACTTAAATCACATTATATATGAATAAAGTAGATTAAAGAATGAGAGAATATGTCACCTGTTGCATAATTCAAGATTAAAAAAAAAAAAAGATATATGTTTACTACTAATTCAATATAAGCAATCGGATTCAAAATGTTGTTTAATTGTAATTAAAGAAAAAAGTAGTATAAAATTAATGTATATATGGTAAGTGCAACTTTATCGACTAACAAGTTAGGTTTTATCCCACCATAAAAAAGTAAGGTTTTCTTCCACTAGCTATATACTATACTCCGTATGCCAAGAAATGAAAAATATATATCTAATATTCACAGAATAATCAAATTTTAAAAAAGTGATTTTTTTTTTTTTCCCAAAACGAAATGGACGAATACTGCGGAGTGCATTACGAGATCAGTGAATATTTTTCTAGTAAAGAGAGTTTTGGTGAGTCATAGTGACTGTGGATGACACTTGACAGGCAGATATTGGCCATTGAAACGATATTTTAAAATGTTTATTTATAAATTAATTTTAATTTATTAAATAATAAACATTAATTTTTTATTATTAATTATTTTTAAAAATTAAATTAAAATAAAAAATTTAATAATTATTAGTGACTTTAATAGATTAAATAGTAACAATAAGCATAGAAAGTATACCCCTGCAAATGACTTTTTGACATTGAAAATTTTGGAACTTGTGTACTCCTAGTCTGCATTAACCTGTTCATTTTGACTTGTGGGACACGTTTCTGCTAATTTAGACGTGGAGAAAGGGAAGCTCAAGCCCGGCCTAGGTGCCACAACAAAAATGATGGTTCAATAAATAAATTCTGGTCAAGCCGACGTGAGTCAGGTCTCGGATATGGTAATCAAGGATATATATTAGGTTAAATGTAAATTTTAGTTTTTTAATTTTAACATTTACATAATTTTTATTTTTAAATTTTTATGTTTTTTTTTTGATAGTTTGACTATGAAAAATGTGTTTTTTTTGTCCTTTCATCATTTAATTTATTAATTTTATCTAAATATACACATTTTTAGTTCCTTAATTTTAAGTCGAAGAATAAAAAATGCATATATATTAAAAGTTGATGGATTAAAAATGTGTATATTCAGATAAACTTAACAGATTAACTAATGAAATGATTAAAAAAATATATTTTTCATAGTTAAATAACTAAAAAAGTATATAAAAAAGTTAAATAGTGAAAATTATGTAAAACTTTAAAGTTGAAGAATTAAAATTAGCATTTAACCTATATATTATTAAAAGGAATTTTTTTATCTTATATACTTAACATATAAATTAAATATATTTTTTATTATAAATATATATAA